GTCTTTTTCTTTATAAGAATTCTTCTTATAACAGAAACTATTTGCCTTCCTGTTTGCGCAGCGTAATTTAACTGCAAAACAAAAACAGCATCGTATACCAAAAACATCTCCTCAAAAACTAAGACAATAAATCTGTTGTTTATGACCAAATTTTTGGCTGCTTTCTCTTGAACTCATCATCATCATCATATCTTTTCGCGTTTTTGTTACGCGTGTTGTAGCAATCAGTCGAAATCAGGGACGGCACGTGAAGACTTGCTACCTGTCCCTGTAACACCTGTAACTTGCCTGTAACTTGTCCATGGCTCTGTAAACCTAGCCCGGGTTGACCAAATTTCCCTCACATGGCTTTGGTCAACCCGGGCTAGGTTTACAGACGCATTGCCAAATGTGCCACGAGCCGGGATTGAACCCGCGCCGTCTGGCTTAACTCACGTAATTAACCATTTAGCCACCCGCCCCACTCTCTTGAACTTAAAGTCATTAAAACCTCAATTATCTTAGCCAAGCAACTTATGTTGCAACGGTCGTTTAGCTATTTATTTGAGAACATATTTCCATGGAATTATCAAAGGACATCTTGCATTTCTTTGTCACTTAGTTGTCACGCAGATGAAAATATTGCAATTGAATTGAGAGTTTACTTGAGAAATCAATTTGCTTGGTTTGAAGCGTTTCCTGACTCCAGCATTTCGTTGCTTTTTCAGTTGGACGGGGTTTGGTTTGAGAAGGTCTTGTGGCTTTTAGAACAATAGGTGGAAATCGATTTACCTATCAAGTATAGAATTGTCTAACGTAGATTGACCACGACTTTCTGATCTAGAAATTTTCTGACGGCCCTTGTCAAGATTCCTAAAAAAAGGACCTTCAGTCGTACTTCTTGACTTAGAAACGTAACTAAAAACAGCAGTAATTTTTTTTCCGCGAGGTGACCATATAGCAATGGTTTCATGTGCGTGATTACTAAGTGACGTAATAACAAGTTGTCTATAGAGTTTTTGCACTACGTCACTTCTACGTCACAAAATCTAACGTTATTACTTGGATTTAAACCATTGAAACTATAAGGACTGAGAAAAAGAACCTTTCCTTTTGTAAAATATGCTGAGCCTGGCTTTAATGTGCCAGTGGCAATTTGCATTGTGAGTGAGGTTAGACAAAGAAGATCTATGGTTTTTTTGGGTTAAGAAACTTTTGCTAAATAATATATGGCTAATGCTGACATAAAACTTCTGTAAATGTAGAAAAAAAAGAACCATAGCTACAGTTAGTATGCTTATGTAGGCAGTTCTTGTGACACTAAGACTGAAGAGCGCCATTGTTCAACAAGTTTTATCACCAAATTCACTTGGTCATACTCTTGTAGGACCTATCTCCAACATGGAATGAACTTTAGTTTTTAATAATGATAAAAACATTATAATATGGATTTACTATTTTTGGCATATTATACATAAACAGATTGGTGTCTTTGTTCAATGTGGATGTCATGCATCCACGTTTTACATTATTAATAACATCTATTAAATACCCAGTAATAAACAGTGTGATCTTCTAATGCTTTGCTTCTATATAGATATTTAATGTTTTTGTTAAATGGTTTTTTGCAAGATTAATATGATGATAGTAAAGACTGAGAAACTCGCAAAACCATTGGGCAACATCATCTTGTGTAGTTAGGATTTGGAGAGAGGGGAAGCTGATTTTAGTTGGGCTAGGGTGACTAATGTGTTTTTATAGCAAAGTGGTTTGAATGAGCTGTTCCCAACTTTTTACACAGTTTCTTTATGAAAGTAGTCACCATCAGTTGTTAATTTATGACTATAATTTTCTATTATTTTGTACTTGCAATATGCAATGGAGTTATTTCACGTAACTATGGTCATGGGAGAGCAGATTAATTTGATAGAATAAATTGGGACTACATTGACCAAGATAATATTTGATTGTTACAAGTTAAATGAAGTTTATAATACAATGACATATTTTATTGGGAATTTTGAATATTACAACACCAAAAATAGTACTCTTTTAAATTAGATCTTGTGCAAGAAATATTTGGTAGCTATTACTTGCGTGCAAGCTTCCACTTTCAATAGATACAATGACACAAAATATTATTTTAAGCAATATCCTTTCTTTTCACAGGCCAAGTTTATAAAAAGCGCAGGATTATAGTGTCCAAGTTTTAATGTTTTAGTATCTTAAGTTATTTTAAGTCCATGAAGCTTTAATGAGTATTAAGTTTGCTGATATGGGCAAGTACGTTGTGAAAAATACATACAAAGTGTCCAAGTTTTACCACTGGGAAATTATGCGATACATAAGTAGGAAAACTTGGCAATACTTTTCTCACAAAACATGCTAGTGCCCAATGGTCAACACAAGGTTTGCAATCCTCACTACGAACAATTATTAAAGAAAACCATTGAAAAAGTAACCCAGGCAATATCACAGTCGGCCATGTTAGTTCTATACCCCCACCCCCCCTCCTCAATGGTGGACAGCAAAACTGTAACGTGTTATCAATTAAACAAACCGAATAGTACACTTACAGCAAAGAATAAAGACGTGTGTATATAATGCACACAAAGTCCGAAATCAGTGGTTAATTTTAAATAAAAATTAACATTCTACATCAAAAGCTACAATATAAACATAAGCACATTCTGCTTTACATTTAAATTGCTGCCTTTCTTCTTGGTTCTTTCTTGTCTTATAACATTTAATTGAATAGTACATGCAAGAAAAACGTTTTTGTAGCCATAAAATAAGAAACATTAACTTAAAGACAATTTCTCACTAGTATGCCGAAGGCAGATATGTTTAGCCAAATCTGTATCATTACATCACACACGAGTCATTATCCTTTGATGAAAAATTTCATGACTGTAAGAAATGTGCTTACTTTTGCTCCTCAAACAGGGCTTATTTCTCTATTTTAGACAAAACCACAAAGTAATAATTTTTAATGCAAGATTTTATTAAATGTAAAACAAAACAATTACATTTAAAAATTAGTTTGAAGAATCAATTTAATCTTTCCATCTTCTTTAAAAGTCATGTAAAGGACTGCTGGTCGCCATGCCTATCCTAAAAAAGTAAAATCATTAGCTCATTGGTTGATAACACACATAGAAATTGTCTTATTCTTTATTGGATAGTTTTCCTTATTTTGTATATCCTCTACTTAGAGGATAGTTGTTAAACTGAAGCAAACTCACATAAAAAAACATAATTTATATTTCAACATTCCAGATACTTACCAGTCCACATTTTACAGCATCTGAAGTAGTCTATGTTGTGAAGCCAGTCACCATTATGATCTTTGTACAACCCAGTGACGTAATATCCAGCTTTTTTACATGTGGTCCATCCTTTCTTGTCAAACTCATATCTGATGTATTCATTGTAACAGTGAGCATACTTGTTTGGATGATTGACAGGCTTGCAACATTTTCCTTCCTCAATATTGTGTAATCTTTGGCCTTTGGTGCGATAGAGACCATTTAGGAAATATCCTTTTGGACAACAACTCCAGGTACTGGCCCTGAAAAATAATTTGTTCTTATTATTCATAATGTGTATAATATGGAAAAAAATATTAAGAACCACAAGATAAGTTAATAATAAGCATTGTTTTATTCATGGCAAAACTAAGTTAATTTTTGGATGAAAAAATCTTTCACATGAGATGCTTTTCATGTTATCCTATTACCTATTCTTTAAAAATTAAAGATCATATGGCTGCATTGCAGCGTTCTAAATTAGTAATGCCAATTGTAAGAACTTGTGACTTTTTTACCATTTCATAAGTTAACCGAAGAGAGATTACTTACTTGTCAAGTGATTTCCACCAGTTAGCATTTTTGCATGTACTTCGTTGCCCTGCGTATATTGAACTGGAAGTGCAGCATTTCGCTTCTTCAAGCTTATAAATTCCATCATTATTGAATTTTTTTAACTTGTTTCGGTAAAATCCAGTAATAAATTGTCTTGTATTGTCACATTTTGACCATCCTTTTTTGTCAAATGATTTCCACCAGTTGTCATTAACGCAACGTCTCGGTATAAACGTATCTATAGATGTAATGGTAACAGTAACAATATTAATTTGACATAATCCAGTCACATCATTCACTGCCTTTTTGAAATTTTGCTGTTTAAACGCAAGAATGAGCTGTTGCAAGTTTAATCAATTTTAGGAGACTTATTATATGCTCATCTTTTCTGGGCTTCTATTTTTTTAACATCTAGACTATTCCAATAAAAATGGCAAGAATTCAAAAAATTATGCATTTACATTACATTTCTAGAGATCAAAAAATTCATTCACATCTAGCTTTCTAAAGTAGCTACAAAAGAGTTTTAAACAAAGCAGTTTAACTAATTCTTGAGATAATGGTAACACACAAGCAACGTGCTCTTATATGCAATTTAATGGGCAGAGGTTGATTGGAGCAAATGAGAAGTTCAGCTGAATCTTTTAAACACTACTTTAAGAGATTTAATTTGCTCATTTATCACTTCCCTGTACCACAGCGCTATTTATCAATTTTAGATTATTATAGTTTTACTAAAATTTGTGATGCTAACGTTTTTCTTGTGTTGTTGCTCATGTCATAAAGTTAGAAACTAAAAATTATACTCAATAAGTTGTTTCAATTTGTTTTATGTTTGCAAGTATACCCATTTTCTTGTGTTTAAAAAAATATTCGAGCTTACATTGACACTTGTTTCCAAAGTAACCAAATTTACATTTGCAATTGTACAACTTTCCTTTCCTTTGACATACACCACCGTTAATACAAGGTTTTTTATGACAAGCATTGTAGACTAAAAGTAAAACAAGAGATATTCTATTAAATGTATCATCAAAAACATTAATGATTGCCCATAATTAGTATGCGTAAGAATTCCGTAGTGTTGTTGTAATGTGTTATTGAAACACTGTCCTGTCATTACGATTAGTAGAGTTGAATACACTAACTCATGCTTACATTGACAGTTCTTTCCAAAGTAACCAGGTTTACATTTGCAATTGTACAACTTCCCATTTCTTTGACATTTACCACCGTTAATACAAGGTTTTGTGTGACAAGCATTGTAGACTAAAAGTTAAACAAGCGATAGTTTATTAATTTAATTTAAAAAATGTTATTGATTGCCCAAATGGTTTTGCTCAACATTTTCAAATAAAAGAACCCAATATGTAAGAACCCATTATCTATAATTAGTATTGTAAGAGAACCGTAGCGTTGTTATAAAATGTCATTAAAAAATGTTCTATTATTAAAGTCACTGCAATTGAATACACTAACTCATGCTTACATTGACAGTTCTTTCCAAAGTAACCAGGTTTACAATTGCAGCTGTACAACTTTCCTTTCCTTTGACATACACCACCGTTAATACAAGGATTTGAGTGACAAGCATTGTAGACTAAAAGTAAAACAAGTTATAGTTAATTGTAGTTTAAAAAACTCTTATGATGGTTTGCTAAGTGGTTTGTTAAATATCATCAAATGAACGAGCCCAATATGCAAAATCATATTACATATAGTTAGTAAGCGCAGGAACTACAGTTGTTATACAGTCTTATTGAAACTGTTTTATCATTAAGATTAGTAGAATTGAATACACTAACTCATGCTTACATTGACAGTTCTTTCCAAAGTAACCACGTTTACATTTGCAATTGTACAACTTCCCTTTCTTTTGACATTTACCACCGTTAACACAAGGGTTTGAGTGACAAGCATTGTAGACTAAAAGTAAAACAAGTTATAGTTAATTGTATTTAAAAAACGTTTATGATGGTTTGCTAAGTGGTTTGTTAAATATCATCAAATGAACGAGCCCAATATGCAAAACCATATTACATATAGTTAGTAAGCGCAGGAACTACAGTTGTTATATAGTCTTATTGAAATTGTTTTATCATTAAGATTAGAAGAGTTGAAAACACTAACTCATGCTTACATTGACAGTTCTTTCCAAAGTAACCAGGTCTACATTTGCAATTGTACAACTTTCCTTTGCTTTGACATTTACCACCGTTAATACAAGGTTTTGTGTGACAAGCATTGTAGACTAAAAGTAAAGCAAGTGATAGTATATTAATTGTATTTTAAAAAACATTATTAATTGCCCAAATGGTTTTGCTCAACATTTTCAAATAAAGGAACCCAATATGTAAGATCTCATTATCTATAATTAGTATTTGTAAGAGAACCATAGAGTTGTTATAAAATGTCGTTAAAAAAATGTTCTATCATTAAAGTCACTGCAATTGAATACACTAACTCATGCTTACATTGACAGTTCTTTCCAAAGTAACCAGGTTTACATTTGCAGCTGTACAACTTTCCATTCCTTTTGCATACACCACCGTTAATACAAGGTTTTGAGTGACAAGCATTATAGACTAAAAGTAAAACAAGTGATAGTTTATTAATTGTATTTTAAAAAACATTATTGATTGGCCAAATGGTTTTGCTCAACATTTTCAAATAAAGGAACCCAATATGTAAGACCTCATTATCTATAATTAGTATTCATAAGAACCGTAGAGTTGTTATAAAATGTCATTAAAAAAATGTTCGATCATTAAAGTCACTGCAATTGAATACACTAACTCATGCTTACATTGACAATTCTTTCCAAAGTAACCAGGTTTACATTTGCAGCTGTACAACTTTCCATTCCTTTTGCATACACCACCGTTAATACAAGGTTTTGAGTGACAAGCATTGTAGACTAAAATTAAAAACATGGTTTGAGTTAATTGAATTTGAAAAGCGTTTAATTGTTGTCCATAAAGTTTAGTAATGATTTTATAAGATAGTTTTGCATAAGGCCTGGGAAAAGAGTTGTGTTTTGGGGTAAGTTTTTCGTTTATTGAGTAAATTTTTCGGGCAAATAGCCTTAGGTCCCCTCTAATCAAGACTAATCTCACGTGGAAATGTTTTTAAGAATTAATTAAAGCTTCATTTATAAACCACTTCCTGCTTGTCTCTTGTGATTTTGGAGATATTGCGACATTAAAGGAAATTCTAAACGCATTACAAAATTCAAAATTAATTTACGGTAGCTAGAGCAGAAATAGTTCAAAAATTAAGAGTGTAAGTTATAGTTTCCCATCAATAATTTTGTTATAGTTTAACTGCACAAATGATTAAAAACAAGGGACAAGGAAATATCATTTACAAATCATACTTACTTCCACAACTTTTTCCTTGGTAGCCAGGTTTACATAAACACTGGTACGATTTTATTTTTTTTAAACAAAGACCACCATTCTTGCAAGGTTTCTTGGCACATGGGTTGAAAACTAAGTAAAAAGAAATACATCATAAATCTTGCAAATGATTTTGAACATATTCTATCTGTTCTTATAAAATCGACATATGGGATAGATATTCTCAGAAGAACAAGAAAAATGGAATTATTCGCACGTAAAGAGTCATCAACATTGGAGCAGCTTCACTTCCTACACAACTGCAAACAACAACGAATCCTACCGAACAGCATCAACTATCGACCACCATTAAAAACAACTCACGCTCAACAAATTGCACAATCAAACGGCCGCCGTATGTTAAACGTCCTCATATCAGATGCCACAACCGCTTACGAATCTACTGTCATAAACTACAAGAACATCGAGAAACCGTAACAACATACACGACACAATCAGACACCAAATCCATTAATGAAGCCATTAAAAAAGCAACATCCGCATATAGAACAAAACGACACCACGAACTTCATCGAAAATTACAAGAATCCAGATCTTACAAAAAACTCCATCCCAACACAAACGAATTTGTCACAAACATCTCGAACAAACCACTAACCGAACAGCAAACTAAAATTTTAAACAAAGGATTAAATTACAACTTTAAAGACGCGAACAAACTTGACTACGTTGCCGACCTGGAATCCTCTTTAAAGTACACCAACTTAACAGACCAAACGAAATAAGACATTCGTCACAAAATCACAAATAACCTCTGCCACAAACCACCTGTCACCCTAAACTACGAAGAACTACGAGCAATTAAAAACCTACAAAACGACGACCAAATAATCATATTACGAGCTGACAAAGGACGCAAAACAGTTATCATGGACAGATCAGAATACATTGACAAAGCCAAAACCCTCCTACAAGACACCAACACCTACAAACTTCTCCGCACAGACCCCAGCAAAACGACCACCAACCGCATCAACCAGAAACTGAAACAACTAAAAGACAAAAAGAAACTAAACGAAAACGACTACAGAAGAATCCGACCCAATGACGCATCCACCGCCAAATTCTACGGACTACCAAAAATCCACAAAGAAAACAACCCACTTCGACCTATCGTATCGCTTCCAGGATCACCTACGTATGAACTTTCAAAATATCTTTATAACATTCTGTATCCATTAGTGAAAAATTCACCTCACACCATCAGAAATGCCACCACTTTCCTCGCCAGTATTGAAAACATTAAACTACGACCAGACGAAATCATGATATCCTACGACGTGACATCACTCTTCACATCCATACCACTAGACATCGCCAAACAAATTACAAACGAACTACTCACAAACGACAAAACTTGGCAAGCTACAACACAACTAGACAAAAATGACATCCTAGACTTACTCAACCTTTGCCTCTCCACTGAATTCACCTTCCAAAACACATACTACAGACCAATTTCAGGCACACCAATGGGATCACCACTATCCACCTTCCTCGCAGAAGCTGTCATGCAACACCTCGAAACACAATCAGTCACAAACAACACAAACATCAGACTATGGAAAGATATGTCGACAACATCTTTGCCATAGTCAAGAAAGACAAAACTGAACAAATTCTACACACCATAAACAATACCACAAAGAACATTACCTTTACTAAAGACGAAGAGCACGACGAACGACTTACCTTCCTCGACATCCTACTAACCAGAACAGATGACGGTACACTAAACACACAAGTACACCGCAAAACCACCCACACAGACCAAATACTCGATTTCAACAGCAATCATCCAACACAACACAAAATAAGCTGCATTCGAACACTTTTCAACAGGATAAACACTCATTGTAACACGAAAGAAGCCAAAAAAACAGAACGCAACTACTTATACTCCACATTTATTAAAAACAACTACCCTAGAAACTTCATAAACAAAACTATATACAAAATACAAAACAAAACACAAACCGACAAAAGCAACAAAAAACCGGACGAAACAGTAAAAATCGTCACATTACCATACATAAACGGAACATCACAAATGACTGCCAGCCTTCTTCGACCGTTTAATATTAACGTCGCCCACAAACCTACACAAAAACTCAAATCATGTTTCACCAAACATAAAGACAAAACAACAATTCATGATACAACTGACGCGATCTACATGATACCATGTAAAGACTGTTCAAAACAATACATAGGACAAACATCTAAGAAAATTGAAACAAGACTCACAGAACACAAAAAACAGACAAATCGACATACCCATCATATACTCACAACTAAAGAAAAAGGACAAAAAAACTACAAACAACACCAAAATTAAAACACTACACTCTAATATTATTAACACCAATCATATTAACAACACACCAAAACCCATGGCAACGCATTTCACCCCATCCAATCACATTAATCCACCCACTCATCTAATTAGACGCTCTAGACGTCTCCAAGCTAAAAGCACGTGTAAATAAATATTTTTCATTCTGATGAAGGCTCGAAGCAACGAGTCGAAAGCTCAATAAAAAATCAATGAAAATCCGGAGAAACTGTTATCTTTTATGTATTCAATGCCTGGATTACAAATTTTCAAACTTATCTGTTTCTATATGGTACTCAATTCCGTAGAATTAAATTTGTTCTCTATTTTGGAATAGTTCTGTTTAATGTGTTCATGTATTGTAATTTTCAAACCAATAAATTTAATATTTTACCTGGGGCCATTTTGCAGCATTTGAAGTAGTCAATGTTGTGAAGCCAGTCGCTTTTATGATCTCTGTATAACCCAGTGACGTAGTAACCAGCCTTTTTACACGTTGCCCATCCTTTCCTGTCAAACGCATGTCTGATATATTCATTGTAGCAACCACCATACCTTTTGGGATGGCGTATTGGTTTGCAACATTTTCCTTCCTCAATATTGTGTAAATGAATTCCCTTTGAGCGATAAAGACCATTTAGAAAATATCCTTTAGGGCAAACACTCCAAGTGCTTTTTCTAAAAAAAATTTTTATGTTTAGTTAAAACTAACTGCAAAGGTTACTGAGTTTTATGATTAACTCACATTGTGTGTACAAGACGCAGAAATTTTTCTTAAGTTTGATGAAATAACGACACACAAGACATTATTATCTATTATGTAGTTAAGTAAGTAAATGATTCAATGTTACTGTTTCAGTTAACAAAAATATAAACTATTCAAAACTAAATATAATTTCTCTTAGACAAGTTCAAGTATTTGCACTTCAAGAATTATCAAATAACGCTGTGATTGACAGGGTATCTATACCATTATAATTTGAAGATTTTAATCGAATTTAACCATCTTGCAAAATAATTTAATTTTAAAATAATTTCTCCCTATGAGTTGCGAAGATGTAACTTTTGGCACTTCCTATGCAAACTTGGCCACCAATTTTGATGCTTGGTAAATTTATGTTATGACGAATACACATTTAGAGCTTAGAAATGAAAATAATTGATGACTTGGCGACTTCCGTTCACGAGAAAACATAAAATGAGGAAAAAGTTCGAACACATTTTAAGGTATAGAATAAGTACTCAAAGTTAATTAAATCTAAATCATACTAACTTGTCTAAAGTTTTCCACCAGTTAGCGTTGACACAAATGCTCTTTTGACCTCTGTATCCAAGACTAGACAAACAGCACTTTGCTTCTTCAAGTTTGTAAATTCCATCATATAGGAAAGTATATAACTTGCTACGATAGAATCCAGTGATGAACTGTTTACTGGTGGAACATTTTGACCATCCTTTTTTGTCAAATGACTTCCACCAGTTGGCGTTAACACAGACCTTTGCTGCAATTCATGATTAAGATTAGATTAAGATAAGAATGAGTAATATATAAATTTTAATACGAACTTTTTCATTTTGTCTCATTGCGATTATCTCGTGCATGCCCGAAATATTAATCCTCTGTCGCATTCGTAAAAGTTAATACGAACAAAGATTATCGAATTTATTTCAGCTAATTGTATATCAACACCTCATATACATATAATATATTATCAGAAAAAGTATTAATCAATCAATCAACAAAAGTCTTAACATTTCATGTAAATATTTATGACATCTAATGAAAATACTCACAAACGGAATGCTTAATGGTTGTTCAATTAAAGTAAGGCTACAGGCTATCTCAGAGAAAACGAAACCAGCCCATATAATTTATGAATTCACTGCCATGATTATGCACAATAATTTAACCAAAATTCAAAATAGGTTAATGAACTTGTTCTATAAATGCTATTATTAACTCTCTTAACTTTTTGAATGAGACATCCGATTAACTCGCCTTGCCAAAGTTATTGGGAAACTGTGCCGAGATCTCGGCAATTCAAATTACTCGGTTTACCATGTAAACACGTTTGAACGGGAAACTTAGTTAGGCGAGTAGAATATAGGTACCAATCACGTAAGCTTCTATCCTACAAATAGCCTGTAAACTAAAATATGATAGCGAAAATGCATGAACAAAACATAAAATACGCCTTTCGAAACTTCTCTCAATTCATTTTATTATTTTTGCATTTTTTAAGAGTTTGCGATTGAACTATACTTCGAATTGTGGACTTTATGTGATAAAACGTATCGGACTGTATGCCGAGTTTCTCGGTGTCGTATAAACAATGCGCGCTGTTTCGTCGCGGGCAGCCGAGTTATTCGTCTAACAGGGTAACTCGGCTCCATATGAACAGGCGCTAAAAGCTGCCTTACACGAGAGGTTACAGCTAAGCTACCAGCCTTGCGAGGCACGTAGCACAGCACGTTACCACGTGTGCGGCTAAATTTCGATAAGAATAATACCTCAGTTGCGTGTCCGCGTGAGGAAAATATATATCGTGTTTGATTTTTTTTGCCTCGCGAGACATAACTCAACGTATGCGATACTCGTGAGTAGATGCTCAGCTACCAGCAAAAGACAACCAATGAAAATATGTAATTTTTCTACGTGAAGACACAAAGCCTTCGACCATATGCCTTCGACTATAGTATAATAAATATGGCGGCTAATTCAATTGGCGATAATAACGAACAACTAAATGAGCTGTTTGAAGAAGAGAAATTGCTAGTAATATGGCCTGTCTACCCGTGTTTGTACGCAGTCGCGAAACTGGTTGTGATAACAAGGTCACGAGGCGCCATCATTGTTGGCGCCGGGTGGGGAAAACTTAGAAAATTTAATGCCTTACACTCCCGAAAAAACTATTTTTTGGTTTCTATTTACAAAGCTAAATCATTAAACGTCACTCCTCGTACAGCCGTTTAAATTTAATTCCTAAATATCCTTCAGTCTTGGACTGTTTCCACCTGGGTCAGAGCTCATCAGCATGACAAAGAAACACACAGCACATCAGTGAAATTCAGTTCACTTTCAAAAGAAATCAGAAGGGCACAACAGAATATATGAATATGCACCCTACCCCCACCCCCAAATAACGTTCTACTTACGCCTCTGTCCAATGATAACTGTGTGCATCACATTGTTTCAAAAACGTTATATGAGTTAAAAAGTCATTTTACATTATCGTAAATGGCAGACTCAGCAAATACCAAAATTTAGAACAATGATCATTGAGAAACGTAACTGTCGTTCACAACACCAAACAACTTAATAAGAATGTTAATTACAAGAGCAAAATACTCATTTGGAATCATTTCAATGCAAACACTGAAATTTCGGTTGATAATGTAAATCCATTCTTATAAAAAGTTCTGTTATTACTATCTCACTTTACCTTTTTTAGCCTTTGTTGCAATGACCTAAACAGTAAAACGACATAGAATTTAGAAAATTTGTGACAATAAGTGCTTCATATCTACATATATTTTATTAATCCGGGACAACACTTAATGATAATAAAGGCGATCTGCCGTTCGACACATTTTTAAATACTTAAGTCGAAAACTATATCGCAAAACTAAATCTGTAAGTAGTTGAAAGTACATCCCTCCCTTTTTACAAGAACGGACCTTAACGAAAAATCTATGCATTAAGACTATCAGAGCTATTCCGCAGGACCAGTAGCTATTAGCCAAGATGGCTAACTGCCGTCTGCAATAATAATATGATATAGAAAACAGCATGCCTAAATTATTGTGTGTTTATGGAACTATTTTATTTATTCAAAGCTTTAGTTGGGTGGCTCAGGCCGTTAGCTTTTAGGACATTTGCTGTAACTTACACATACCATTAAGAGCAGAACGGCAGACAAAATAGTGAGACTTGACTTCATTGCGTACGCTTTATCCAGCACTGCTTCTTCTAATCATCAACTGGCAACAAGATGCACAGCCTAAATAAAACTGATACAATGCGAAAGGTGCTTTATAACCTCGCCAGTCTGATGAAATTTCTGTCACATCTCTAAAATTTACATTTTTAAAACTTGAATCAGCAGGATATCCCTACTTCAAATATTAAAGATCATTTGTAGCGTCTGAATAAACAAAACTCTTAGTCGGCAGTAATCTAGATGAGATCAATGTTTCCCCTGCTGGAAAATTACTTATGTAGCATAAAACAATTGCTTATATTCAGGTTGTCGAAAAAGAAGTTAATCGAAATTCAACACGCTAATGTGTGTACAATACTGAATAAACGACCATAGTTTTGAATTATTATGAAACCCCAGATTTCTAACTATACAATGTCAAATTGTAGTTGCATTTAAAGCAAAATGAGCAAATGCTAGCTCCCTGAAATGCTTTGGTGGCACGCTGAAATGCTAGCACTCTATGAATTTTGGAATATGCATGTTATGCTAATTTTGTTATTATGTAAAAGTTAGGACGGATTTTTAAACGATATGTTACAAATAATGGTGGTTAAACAAGGCAAACATTTTCTGCCTTGTCATACAATTATACAAACCACTTAGGCAAATGTGTAAAACTTTTAGTCACCATTTAAATTTGTTTTAAGGAATGCTGAATAAATTTGACTTTGTTTTGATATCATTTGAATGAATTTATTAATTAATTTTCCTATTGCCCATCATGACGCGGAGGTGAAAAAATGCGATTTCGACTTAACATTTTTAACTCTCTTATATTTGCTCATTGCTTTTCCATATTTTACGAAAAACATCACATTCTGAAACTAAAGCACTGGTTTACAACATATTGAAATATTGCTTTTGTTTATTCAGTATTTTATGCACACCAGCGCCTGAAGATGCATTACCTTTCTTTAAGACACTCTGATACGTACATTTAGCATATAGGGAAATGGTAGCTTTTTTTGGCCGTCTTCTGTATGTTTTTTTATTCCATTTATTACACCAGACAAAATTATACTTTTAGTTGGTTAGTACATATGTCCAATGTTAACCTGGCTTTGGTAAGGCTCGAATTTAGTTCAGGCAATGAAAAAGTAGCGCATTAGCAACAAATTTCTATAGTTTACAACGTCACCTGACTCCAACTGATCGAGCCAAAAGAGGCTAGAACTGACATAACACCAGATTTCAACTTATGAAGTAACTAATGACAGTTAGCAACTAGAAGTTTCCTCTTAACTAGTTATTGACGTATGAAATACCTTGACTTCGACCGGAACATTGTCAAACTATGATTATAAAGACATTAATTAGTGAGTCATATGAAAAAAAAGCAGACAGTTTCACCAACGCCTCACAAAAGGTCACAAATTCGTGGTGGACAGACGCGTAACTAGAACGTTAATTTGGGGAGAGGGTGCATATTCATATATTCCGTTGTGCCCTACTAAGTTCTTTTAAAACTGATTTGAATTTCCAAAGATATCAGTAGGGCACAAGTGAATATATGAATATACCACCCCACCCCCGATTAACGTTCTGGTAACACCTCTGGTGCTGGCACTTATTTAGATACGCAAAATTTTGCAATATCAAACGAAATGAAGTTTCCAGCACTTAAATGCAGGTACAAAAGTCATATTACGTAGCGAACGTCAAAGGAGAATTTAGAAGTGTCACGTTTTTCTTGAGGGAGAGAAAGAACAAAACTAACAGAAAGCTGAATTGTGATGATATTAAACTCCCATATTGCTGCATTAAGCTTGGATTGGTGATAAATTTCAAAAAATAAATATTTTTACTTGCATGTGACTAATCAAAGACATCTACAATGCTGTTCCGAGAAAACTGCTTCGTGTACGTACTTGGCATCGGTTCCTAAGTACACTTAATTAGAGAGTTTACTATACTTCACATTTCCGAAGTGATACTGGAATGTTTACAATCTATTGTCAAACCTCCTTATTGTTTAGGGAATAATTTAATTAGTAACTTGCACAAAGAAACTCCTTCCTGATTTTGCTATCAGTGCATTGGATCATTTCTTTACTATAAAATATTGTAAATCAATGAAAACACATTGGCCACGTTTGATTTGCATGTGGAGATAACTTTGTTTACTAGGAGCCTTATCGGGTAAAGCGAAGAAACTTTTCGCCCTGAATAAAACTGATACTATACGAAAGATGCTTAATAACATCCCCTGTTTGATGAAATTTCTGTCACATCTCTAAAATTTACATTTTTAAATTTGAATCAGCAGGATATCCCTACTTCAAATATTAAAGATCATTTGTAGCGTATGAATAAACAAAACTCTTAGTCTGCAGTAATCTAGACAAGATCAATGTTTCCTCTGTGGGGAAATTTCATATGTAGCATACAATAATTGCTAATATTCAGGTTGTCGAAAAAGAAATTAATCGAAATTCAACACGCTAATGTGTGTACAATACTGAATAAACGACCGTAGTTTTGAATTATTATGAAACCCCAGACTTCTAACTATAGAATGTCAAATTGTAGTTGCATTTAAAGCAAATTGAGCAATTGCTAGCACGTTGAAATTATTTAGTGGATATCACCTTTTTACCTATTACATTTGTGTTATATAACTCCATTGAAAAGAAAAGTCGCCTTGCATCTTCGGCACTTACATCTTATTATTTTTGCGTACTTTATGAATTTTTGGAATATGCATGTTTATGCTAATTTTTTTATTATGTAAAAGTTAGGACGGATTTTTAAACGATATGTTACAAATAATGGTGGTTAAACAAAGCCAACCTTTTTCTGCATTGTCATACAATTATACAAACCATTTAGGCAAATGTGTAAAACTTTTAGTCATTCATTTAAATTTGTTTTATGGAATGCTGAATAAATTTGACTTTGTTTTGATATCATTTGAATGAATTATTAATTAATTTTTCTATTGCCCATCCTGACGCGGAGGTGAAACAATGCGATTTCGACTTAACGTTTTTAACTCTCTTATATTTGCTTATTGCTTTTCCATATTTTACGAAAAACATCAAATTCTGAAACTAAAGCACTGGTTTAAAACATATTGAAATATTGCTTTTGTTTATTCAGTATTTCATGAACACCAGCGCCTGAAGATGAATTACCATTCTTTAAGACACTCTGATACGTACATTTAGCATACAGAGATATGTGTAGCTTTTTTTTGGCCGTTTTCTTTATGTAGTTTTATTCCTTTTATTACACCAGACAAAAATATAGGTTATTACATATGTCCAATGTTAACCTGGCTTTGGTAAGGCTCGAATTTAGTTCAAACAATGAAACATTAGCGCATTAGAAACAAATTTCTATAGTTTACATCGTCACCTGATTCCAACTGATCGAGCCAAAAGAGGCTAGAACTGACATTGCACCAGATTTCAACTTATGAAGTAACTAATGACAGTTAGCAACTAGAAGTTTCCTCTTAAATAGTTATTGACGTATGAAATACCTTGACTTCGACCGGAACATTGTCAAACTATGATTATAAAGACATTAATTAGTGAGTCATATGAAAAAAAGTAGACAGTTTTACCAACGCCTCACAAAAGGTCACAAATTCGCGGTGGACAGGGGAGTAACTAGAACGTTTATTGGGGGGAGGGTGATTATTCATATATTTCGTCTTGCCCAACTAATTTCTTTTGAAAGTGATTCGAATTTCAGAAGAATTCAATATCAAACGAAATGAAGTTTCCAGCACTTAAATGCAGGTACAAATGACATATTACGTAGCGTACGTCAAAGGAGAATTTAGAAGTGTCACGTTTTTCTTGAGAGATAGAAAAGAACAAAACTAACAGAAAGCTGAGTTGTGATGATATTAAACTCCCATATTGCTGCATCAAGCTTAGATGGGTGATAGTTTTCAAAAAATAAATATTTTTACTCGGATGTGACTAATCAAAAACATCTACAATGCAGTTCCGACAAAACTGCTTCGTGTACGTACTTGGCATCGGTTCCTAAGTACACTTAATTAGAGAGTTTACTATACTTCACATTTCCGAAGTGATACTGGAATGTTTACAATCTATTGTCAAACCTCCTTATTGTTTAGGGAATAATTTAATTAGTAACTTGTACAAAGAAACTCCTTCCTGATTTTGCTATCAGTGCATTGGATCATTTCTTTAATATAAAATATTGTAAATCAGTGCAAATACATTGGCCACGTTTAATTAGCATGTCAAGATAACTTTGTCGACTAGGAGCCTTATCGCGTAAAGCGAATAAAACTTTTACCCGCGTATTTGTAAAAGGTTTTGAATTCTGTCAACCATCATTATGAAATTGAAGCTCTAAAAGAATTAAACTACCAGATAAAATCATAATACTTAAAGTAGCTGTTATATAATACATAATTATAAAACGACATAAAAGCTAAAAAACTATATCTTTTAAATACTTGCAATTATTTATTACTAAAAACCATTCATTAATACACACGAAGCTAATGACCGCTGCTTGATAAAATTTTAATTTGGGTGAAAAGCCTTACAAAATTATATAGAGATTATGGACAAGAAATTAAGACTTCAAACTTTGTACTATGCAAATATGTGGAAATACATCCGTGCCGATAACCACACTCATAGTGCAATTTTAATCGCTTTCAGATAAATGTTTTTCTGTATCAAATACTAAAGTGAAGGAAGTAAAATCTAAAACTAAATGTTATAAACATTTCAGTAGTTAAGACCATTTTTTTACACATTAGTGTGTTGCTAAAAAATAATTGTGTGTTGACACTTTAAGAAGAGAGTGATTTACCATTTAGTGTCATGAGAATAAAGAGCGTATTGTTTCTAATATTTAGGCTTAGCACTGTTGTTTGCGACAACAGCTGAGTTTTCTTGAAAACTAATATCGTAGATTTTTAACAAAATTGACAGCTACATCTTGCAGTCTAAACATGTCACAACTAATAACAGGTACAGATACAATATAAATAAAGTTAATTGTAGCCGTCTAACTTTCACTTTAGAATACTTTAATAAGATTCTATTTGTTTTAACCGTTTCTTTCTCAGGTTGCCGTATGGCACTGTATGGAAACCATGCTTAATGCAATTTACCAAAAAATTGGAAGTAGCCAATTTTCTATGAAAAAAATCTTGCCAATTATATTAAAGCTTTTTGTGATTCATTTTCTCAAACAGCACATGACATTCTCCCGAAAATATTTGTGAATAAATTATTATGCATGGCTTAGCATTAAGTGAACTTTCTTTTAAATGTAATAGAAGTGACTTTCTCACAAAAACATATTTGCTGCTATCTGTAAACATTGTTAGTATATATATTATGGACGGATAAAATCATTTTTTGCACAAGTCTCCCGGATAAAGAGAGACAAAATTTATCAACAATTTGAGAAAATGGGGTGAAGAGTTTTTGTTATATATTACTTGGGAAATCTGAGAACATGCTAATTGGCATCGCCTGAAGTTAACATGTTTATTTTTGACAAAAAAATTTTAAAACCTTCTCAACAAATCAAATGATTACCAACACCAATATTAAATTTAAAGTTGTAAATAATACATCAACGAAAGCGATTTGAAATAACTGTTAAACGCAACGATGTGCGTGCGTTGTATTAAAAAAAAGATGCGAATGATTTATGATATGCTTATAGTTTGATGAACACCCTGTTTGCGAAAGAGCTTTTTGATGACTAGACGTCTCCACTTATTCAATATCACAGGATATGGAACTACCAGAACAGAAGCGACACTCCTTTGTAGTTTTTGGTCACGCGCACATTTGCCGGAAGCGAGCGTTGCCATATTCTTGTGTAGCAAAGTGGAAGAATTTTACAATAAACAATATAGTGAAATTTGTATTGTCGAGTTTAAAAATGCTCTTCATGGAATGTAACTCGACAATATTTGCCACTTCTATGAATATATTAAAGACAAGGTAATATACTCTTACTTTGTTGATTCTTTTGACTTAAAAATCTAATTTTACGACACAATTCAACTGAGATTTATTTGGATTCGGTGGTTGGGTCGTAGATTTTAGTTTATCTTTACCATGATGTCCAAAGCAGTTACAAATATGTAATGACTTGTCATATATTTAAAAGAAACATTAGAAATGATTTTAACTAGGCTTCATTGTTTTGGAGATCAACTTTCGTGTTTGAACGCTTTTAATAAAGTACCAATATGACTTACAAAATAGCAAATATTAGTTCACGTACAATGAGTTTTTGGGCTAATTACTCATATTTACCCTTCAATATGATGGATTTGGCTTATGGAACAAAAACCATTAGTTTATATTTTTCTGCAAAAATGTGATACATGATTTTCAGGGTTAATGAGAATTTACACAATCCTCTTATTTTCTTGTGCTCAAGCAATTGTAACTCTAAATCCCTAGGTAATGCTTTTGTTAGAATACTTACTCATGCCCAACAAACTTAGTAAATATATACAAACATGACTAATAAAAAATAGATAACAAACTATATTAGTGAAGGATTTCATTCTTGAAATAATTACACTGCGTGTCTTCTATATGGAATTAACGAAGCGTTAGTTAGAAACTGTATTAATCCTTTATCATGCCATTATTGAAGAGAAGAAATATTGTTTGTATTGTTCGATAACAAAACACTTTGATTTAAACATGTTTATTTGTACAATACCTCCTTTAAATCACATAGAATTATATTTTTTATACATTGTATACATACAAGTAAAAAAAAATATATCCAGGGAACACATTAGACGAATTGCTAAATAACAAAACTAAACAAAAACCTATGAGTCGAAGCCATTGAGTAGGCGAGTATATAGGTTAAGATAAAATGCGGATACGGATGGCGGATGAGGGGATAAAATGCGGATGAAGAGACAAATCGCAGATGAGGTGATAAAACGCGGATGAGGAACAAAAGTCTTTTTCTTTCAGTTTTAAAAGAGTACAACTAAGCTGATATCAAAGTTATTAAAAAATGCTTTAACAACCAACATATGCAAATGCCAAAATCACTGTTTATCATCCATTTTCAGAGCTATATCCATGCCTAATTTACAAATTAGACGATTCGAAAACTTTTCAGGAATTCAAAATGTTCAGTTTTTAAATGTTGTTGTATCAGAATAACAGTCATTTGGGGGCTGAAATAGGGATGTTTCATTTTAATACAACACTTGTTGACCTGAAAATAAACATTTCTCTCCTGCTGTCAGAAACTGTGCGATCTTCTCTCTGTATTCTTGAAATAACAACGAGGTCGAAAGGTGGGTTTCCAATCATACCATTAGCCTTCAAAGTCTAACTGCATCCAAAAACAAGAGTGAACAACTGGCAGACAAACTGCAGTAGGCTTATGTTAAGGGAGTTACTACCTGGTATAGTGTTGGTTGATAGTATAGCTCAAAGGTTGTTTAGGTGTCACAAACCTTGGACTCGTAATAGGTATGGTGGTGTTGACTAGACTGTGGATTATGGATTGTTGACTAAAAACTATTGACTATGAACTATGGACTGTTGACTATTGACCATTTACGATTCACTGTTGGCTATTGACGATTGATATTGGAGTAAAAGTTATTACAATTTCAATCGTAAAGTGCTGTGCAGACTGCATGGCGTTGCAAAGGCGTTTGTCTTTTGTGTTACCTGTTAGGTTTTGTGATGTGGCAATCTGCATCACCCTTAGTATAAATTGACATGCACCAGTAAATAGAGATGTCAAAGCTAGATAACTATACGATCACATTTAATGTTCTACGTCTATTTTACAAATGGTTTAACTACTTCTATATTTACATGGTATTATACATAGGGTTAACAGGTTATATTTGTTTCTTTATGAAATATGGCTGATTTATAATGACGGAAAACTACTAGGAAGTAGGAAGTAGGAAATATGAAAAATATTGTCATGACTACACATAAGTATCTCTCAAAAATAATAATTAATTACTTACACTTGAGTTTTTTACTAATGACGGGAAAATGTGAGAGCATATCTTAACATTACTTTTACTTGACATAATTAGGATAAATAAATTTGTATCCGTCAAAAACCGCCGTTGTAAAATTTCACCGATCAAAAACGTCGTCTGATTCATTCTTCTGACATGGAAGCCCCCAAAAGGCTAAATTTTGCGTAATAAACAAAGATCTACGCCCTTGGTTTATCATAAAACTATTTTACACGCAATTAAATTTTTGTCCACAGTCTACATTTCATAGTCCAGTGCAAGTTTTAGAACATACCCAAAATCATATTTCAAAATATCGAGTCTAATTAATTAAGTTTCTTGAAGAAACAATTGTTTTATCATGACCATTAAAGACTCAGATTTCAAATGTTTTCTTTCAATTGACAACACCTTTCGAATACAGCGAAGATCTGTATATATATACACGCAGTACATTATAGTTGAATTTATGGACATATAAATGTATTTGCCAGTTATTTAACGATCCTCGAGAAAGAGAAACAGTCAAGCTTTTGAAGTTTGTTTGTGTTATAATGATGATGAACGTAGAATAAATAATTTCATAAACTTATAATATTAGTTTTACTCAAGGTGGACAGGCTGTGTTTGACACTCCAACAACACTCAACACACCGCATTTCATCCCCTCATCCGTGTTTTATCCCCTCATCCGAGTTTTGTCATCTCATCCGCATTTTATCCCTTCAACCGCGTTTTATCCCTTATCCACGTTTTATCCCTTCATCAGCGTTTCATCCCCTCATCAGCGTTTTACCCCTTCATCCGTGTTTTATCACCTCATCCGTCATTGATATCCGCATTATTTCCTAACCCGCAAGTATACTCTCAAAAAATCGCAGTCAAATTGTATTTTAAAATTAGATTATCATGTCAAAAGAGTCAACGAAGCAAGCGCATTTTACCTTTTCTTTGATATAATTAGAAAAAGTGACAAAGATTGTCCATTTAAACTCCATGAAAAGTATTCTTAATCTTGGCAGTCCAATTATCGCCGAATTGTTTGCAAGTAAAATTCTCCCACTTTACTACCCAAGAACGTGGCCGTGCTCACTTTTGGCAATTGTTGGCGTGACCAAAACTTCAAAGGTTGTCGCTTCTAGTTAGTTCCATAATCTGTGCCAAAATCTTTTATTCTTTTTTTGTTGGAGACATAATACTTTAGATAAAGTTTTAACTTTTTAAAAAATATATAATTTTCTTATGCGATTTTTTAATGTATTTTATTTTTATCTTAAATGATCAATCAGCATATACTTGTATATGTTTGGTAAATATTGGCCATAGAGTCGAACACATTTCTCTTTTCCGCATAGCATTAATAAATATTCTGTAACAATAACAAACAACATTGAAGCTTTTAACAGGCAAAGGCTTTGTACATTAAAAGTGACGAGAGCAAACATTTTAGATTTCCTTGTATTTTGGTTTCCGCTAATAGTTTAACTTAGTTTGACATTTATTATGAGTCAATGCTCGTAGTAATTTTTGATAATTTGTAAACTCACATAGATGATTTCAGATGTTATATTTATTATGTATCAAGACAAAGAGATATGAAAGAGCTTTTCGTCTTTAATTTAACACAAAAACATAATTAACAGTGACCAGAGGCGAATCAAGCTATAAAAATAAACAATGCTTCGCACTTTAACTTGAATATGATTTTATGCTAAACCTCAACGTAAATATAACGCATGAAAGACTCGTTCGAAAACACATTCTCACCTTCTTTTCTACGTTTTACTCACCAAAGCACTGTGGCCAGACTCTCACCCACATTTATTCGCCTTTTTTTAGGTTTTACTCACCAAAGTACTGTGGCCAGACTCTCACACACATTTATTCGCCTTTTTTAACGTTTTACTCACCAATGCACTGTGGCTATACTCACACAGTGGGAAAAACAAGACCAAATACAAGTACGTTGCTTCAAGTTGAACTTATTATTCGATCAAACAAAATGAAATTTATGTTTGCGATGGCTGTTAATTCTATCAATTCCTTTAAATCTTGATGTATTAAGTTTTCATTATTGTCAACATAAACAAAAGACAGGATTATGCCATTCAATACAAGCGTATAAGAAACGAATTTAGAGAATTACATTGTTTATACTCTTTTGCTTCCGATACAATAAAAAGTTTCAATTTTTAGTAATATTTCTGCATCCAATAACCACACAAGTCAACGGCGAGTTTGTAAAATTACAAAAACTTAGGGAGAGGACTAAAGTTTTTTTCGCAAACTCTACCGCAAATAATAGCGTATATATGTGGTTGTCAAAATCCGGAGGGGAAAAAATTTTTCTTTTGGCGAGCCTGCGTCTTTCCGCTGACGTTCATAGCCAATTGCTACTCAACAGTGCAGTGACGTCTTTTGCTGAAACTGCAGCTCGATTGCAGGCTCGCTAAAATGAGAAAATTACTGATAAAACGCGCAAAATTTCGTATTTCTTTGCTGAATATCTTGCCTTCTAGTTGTTTTTAAGTGTCGTGAATCTGAACAAGTCTTCCTTCTCAATATACCATATTTATTCATTTGAGCGCCACAGGTTTTAAGGGCTTTGCCGTTTCAGGCATGGCACCTATGTCAGTTTGTTTATCTTTTGCTAGTTCCTGTTTAATTTCTAATTAAGAATAAGTAAAGGACTCAAAAACTACAGAGCCTCTAGGACATTTTGCTGTTACTATATGGTTAATTTGACCCCATCTGTCGTAAACTAGCGCCTGTATTCCAAAAGCTTACTCGATTTCACTTACTTTTCTTTTGTGCAATTTCTCTGTTACACTTATTGTGTTCAATAAGACCTTAAAGGAACAAAAAGCCTGGACCCGTTTCTCAAAAACATGGTAATAAGGGCGAATTTTGGGTAAAAAAACTTCAACTTTGAGAAATATTCGCTCCCTTCTTAATCTGGATTTCTATTACGGCGTATAACAACGACAACTTTTTTTGAATACATGGATAAATCTTGGTTAAAATGTCCAAAACAGAAGTGAGAAGTTTGCATGTCCCTACGATTTTAGTGAACTGGAAATATGTCATAATTAAGAAGAAACATATCTATTTTTTTGAGTTACTTTTGGTGTGATTGATTCTGGGTGTCTTATAAGTTATAACGAAAAGATATTTTAATAAATGTACTGAGAACTTATAAGGGAAATATCTTGTACTAGAAGAGCAAAAAAAATCAAAACGCTGTGATCATTTGGCTGGTTAAAACTTTCTGATTAGAGGAAAAATATTAGAAACTGAGTTGATTGTGAATTATTTGGTTTAATCTTGGATCTATCATTGAAAAGAACTACAATACTTTCCCACTGTAAATATGATATATGTTAAAGAAGAATGTACTATTTTCTAAAAATGCTAAACCCCTTGCACTACTCTTCCCTTGTGCCTATATAAATTACAGCTCCCCGCACTAATTTTTTCTAGTTTCAAACAAAATTGAGACATATTTGAGTTTTGCATCATGCCTTTGAATTTTTCCTTTGTCTCTTGGTAAAAATATCAGTGAAAGACTTCCAAATCAAGTTTATCTAAAATAGTACTTTCTTTATACAAGAAAGTAAACGTATTTAGAAAGTTCCTTGTTAAAGTCAGACGTTGCTTCTTTTACTAGATTGTTTATCCTTATATTTTAAATAATTTCTACTATTTCTTTATAAGATACAAAAAAGTTCTTTGCCATCTATAGTTGCTTCTACATGCAAGTTCATTGTAACTAGTGCATCCTATGTGAATATTGGCTCATGTGGAATTGAAAAAAGAATGGACTTTGTCCGATGAAGGAGTATTCAATTTTTCATGCATATTATCATAAATTTTTCCTGATAAAATTTTCAAGTAAAGTACAAATAGGATTGGATGAACATAACCTACATTACAACTTAGTAGTTAAAATATTCTAAAAATATATACCATCACAACTCAAATATTAACTTAAAAAGAAAATAAGAACACTTTAAATGATAAGGAAAACTACGTTGCTTACCAGTGTCATGAAATGTTTCTTTTTCTGGCAGTACTTAGCCCTCCGTATAACACCCAAGTTTGCATAATGTTTTATAGATAAAATTTTAAAAAAGTGTTCGTGCTTGGAAGAATAGCATTGAGATTTTATAAAATCTCATTCGTGGTTATCAAATGCGGGTGGGCAAAATATATTTCTTGATCCCGCGTCTTTCCGCTGACTTAGACAATCAAATTCTGCCATATTTTTGACCACAGGATATGCGCTAATAATTTATAGTAATTTGATTGACATGTTCCTTCCAGATTTAATAAAACTCAATAGCGTGAGCGTGAGCTTTTGCAGTGATCATCAAAACTTAGTAGATTTTATGTCTACACTCTACCATACAAAAAAGTACAAGGTGGCTCTTTTAACAATGCGATTCTCACTTCGGGAAACATCTGTTTCGTTTTCTTACTCTGTTTTCACCTGGTGTATTGTCGCAGTTAATATCAGAACAAAAATGCGCGCACACTAGGTTAGATTTTCTACATGAATATCGCATGTTTGAACACCCAGTCTTAAATTGACAGTCAATGCGAAATTAAGAGTCTGGAGATAAAGGACGTGTCATCCATAGGGTATCAATGTCCCCTTTTGAAAGCTGCTAACCGTTACCATTTGGGGAGGAAACAGTCATTTGGGGTAAAAGAAACTGACACCACATAACCCCTGCTATATTACGCTTTCAATTTGTCTAAGAAGGCTGTCGCATGTTGGTGGCATAACTTCACCTGAACATTTTACACCCTTAAACAATGTGTATTGGTATTCAACGACATTCTTGGATGTATAGTTACAATATAATAGACACGTGAACTTGTTTAAATCGTTTACAATCGTATTAATTCCATTTGACGCATACATCATTAAACACTATAAGCTTAATTGAGTGATTTTTATCATATATAGCAAGTAACTACGTCAGAAACTGATCTTACTGTTGCACAAAGCAATAGTCAATATGCGATTTTGATTCTGCGGAAATGGAAATTTTAAAAATTCACAAGATAATGCTCTTCCACGTTATTCTAATTTTGCTTATTAACTTGCACCAAAAAGCGTTCACAAGATTATTCAGCATCGAAATCTCGAAGGAAATACCTTTTTGAAGATTAAAAAAACTGAAATTATGACTTAGTTGATACAGAATATAACACGAATGATAAGTAGAATGAGTAATGGAAAGTGCTGGTTCTCTTCTTTCCACTTTCAATGACCCACAGTTTTTGAGTAGTTCACCATTGAAATATCAATAATTTGATGTCTTTCGCAATCGATTAACGCAATTTTGGTAACGTAATTTCAGGGATACTTGATGTTGAATACGACATAAGATTCAGGTTCTGCAGTTTTAAAATAATTTTTTAATGAATTTTCGCTAAAATCCGCTATTCAGGCAAGCTTCAACCAAAAAGCTACGGATGACTTTACCAGTGTCTCGAGCAAAAAATTTAAAGTTTTTAAACTGGAATAAAATGAAAATATGCCCTTAAACTCATTTCAAATATTGTAGATTATTTCTCCTTTAAGAAGAACATTTTTTTGAATAATCTGGAACGTGTTGTCCCCATTTTACAACAACGCGTTACGGAGTAAAGCGGACATTTGTGTTAGTTCTGAGCACCATATTGTCTGAAATTCTTCGATCCATTAATTTTTTTGTGTTTATTTATGCTGAAAAAGATGCAAAACATGGCAAACAACAAACTATAGAATGTTACACCTAAAATAATTGTTCAAATTCCAGATTATATGCTTTGTGAAACCTTACAAATAGACAAGTATAGTATATTCAGGCGTTATGGGACATTAGTGTGACCACGGCTATGTGTTTGCATTTAAACTATAATGTTGATGGGAAAGCAAAAATGAAAGGGAACCGTCTTTGTGAGGGAGACGTAAAGCAAAATCAAAGAGAGAAGATTGAAGAAGGCATGAAGACAACATTTAGCAAGGTAAAAATAACCAGACAATGGCTTGCAAACAGACAAACGTCCAAACGAGTAAAGGAAGAAAAGGCAGATTAATAATAGAATATCTAGTAGAGATACAATATACACAATATACGAAGACTTCGTCATATAAATTAAATAAAGAAAAGCAATCAAAGTAATTCATTAAAGGGAAGAGATGTAGTGTTTAACTTAATCTGGGGATACTAATGATATGCATGCATCCAAGTTGGTCAAGGGAAAAAAATGTAAGGAAGGTAAATGATATAGATTGAAGAGAGCATAAAAAATTAAACAAGAAAGAACAAAAGTCATGAATCTTTATATAGTTAACAAAAATAAAAACAGATAAATTGCTTTAGGATACTTTTGCTGTTCTTGGGTTTTCTTCAAGCGAGAGCTTAAACGTAGCAAGTTGTGATGAGGATATTTATTGTTGAGTCATTGAATGACGTAAACGTCAACTATGTTTACTATTCATTAAAGATACCCTAACTAACTTATTAATAAAACATTTCTCCGGTACATTTTTGATACAAAACAGTCACACATTCTCGCATCTCGTCTTCCCAATCCCCCACTATTGAAGTCTCATCAAAAACTACTTGAATTTTGCTCAGAAATGACAGGCTTAGAATATATCTAAGAACCGAGCAATTAGGCTAATGGCTTCGATCAGACTAATTAGTACTGACATTGCAAGTGCAAAATTTAAAGTTTGTTTAGAAATAAAGAATTACTCATTGCGATTCGCAGCATCAGAACATAAATATGCATCTGAAAACTAACTCTTTTTGGGATTAAGAAGTCTGGTAAATGGCGTAAAGACATTTATAGATTGAATAATGTTGACTGCCGACACTCAAAAAAAACAAACACTGACTTTGGGAGTTTTCAATTCATTTTCTTTGTTTATCAAGTTGTCACCTTTTCCCCGATGTGGAGGGAGCACTGAAGGTCCTCACATGGAGACTATAATCTCCATGGACTCATCTGGCGCCACTCCTAACTCAAAGCATGATGATTAGGCACTTTACCACCTGCTGTACTGTACATATTATAGTGGCGTTTTAATTGAATGCATTTACAATTTTATTGTTTTAAGTTAAGTGTTCTCGTCATGTTTTCATTGTAAAGTGAACACTTATCAGGGAAAGCAAA